CCTGGATGCTCAGATGTTCTGGCCTTACAAACCTAGCATCAACTCTGAGAACCTCAGATTAGCACAATACTTAAACTGAATTGTGACATTTGTTTCTCAATTGGAGGCATTCCCTAGAGCTCAGGACAAAGAAGTTAGATCCTTTAATAATTTTAGGATTAGAAATGAACATATAAGAACTTTATCCATATGAAAAATGGAAAAGGATTCCTATTTGCTTAGCTTTCCCGGTGATTTTTAATTTTAGGATTAGCTTTATAAACTAGTGATTATGAGGTGCAGGCCTCTGATGGTATTTGATTTTGTCCATGAAATGATGGAAAATGAGTACTTCTTTAAATGGAAAATAATTATTGTACAATGAAATAAAATCAATTTAATTCAGTACTTTGAAGATCACTGTGGTCTTAAACCAGCATGTGTGTGTCTGTAGGTTCTTTCAAGAAGAAAATTATAGAAAAGTATTGAAATATTAAAAAAATATGACACCCCACTCCTCACCCATGAATTCAATCTTAAAGCTAAAGGTGGTGAGATGTAGAGAGGCTGGAAGTAGATGATAGTAAAAGATGGGACTAAGAACTGGGTGGTGGTGCACGCCTTTAATCCCAGTACTTGGGAGGCAGAGGCAGGAAGATCTAAGGGAGTTCAAGGCCAGCCTGGTCTACAAGAGCTAGTTCCAGGACAGTCAGAGCTGTTACACAGAGAAACCCTGTCTCTGTAGCCAGTAAATACACAAGGTTATTAGTGATTACAGTTTTCCTTCCTCTTGTTCCAATTGTCCCATCCCCCCAAGTACAGTAAGGTTTGTGGTGTAAAATCCTCTGATGTCATCTCAAACTCTCGGTTGGAGAGTGACTGCTAAGCTCTGCTCTTAGGCCAGTGTGCTGGGGATGTTTCAGGTCAGCTGTGTTCTGCTACATTGTTGTGACTGCTTCGCTCTTTCATGCCCCATATGTACCACAAAAAATATTAACAATAGGAATTGCCATTTGCCAAAAAAAAAAAAATAGCAGCTACCAGGGGCTGTGCCTTTAAGCCAGTTAAGGCTATGGTGCCAACGTCTAATGTTCCTCCGAAGTCTTACATATTTTTAGTGGATGTTTATAGACACATATCCAAATTTACAGAAATAGTCCTTGTGGCAGGGAATTGCAACTATTTTAGAACTAGCCAGGGGTGGGGGATAGGAGGTCTTATATTTGAGAATACAAATTGGGAGGATCAAATAAATACAAATATATAACTCCTGCTATGATTTAAAGAGTTTCTACTCTATACCCATAAAGTTCACCATCGTAACGGCCTAAAGATGAGCTGAACAAGGACAACAGCAGTAGCCATGCTAATGAGGTTAGGCACAAGGCCTCAGCCCCACACAAAGAACTAAAGGCAACTAAGGAATTCTGTGGGAGCAATAGTGTTCCCCAGGAAAGAGTCATCCGATATCAAATGGTTCACCCTGAAAATATACATACACGTGACAGTATATGGACTATATTTATGTATATATTCACATACATATATGTATGTAATGAAAAAGAGGCTGAATTTGAAAGAGAGCAAGGATGGAAATATGGGAGGGCTTGTAGGGAGGAAAGTAGGGGCGTGATGTAACTACATTTTAATCTCAAAAGTAAAGAAATAATTTTAAAAAGAACTCATACTCTATTAATGTCACGTTGTTGTACTGTCTAAATGGAGGATAGACCCAAGTGTCATTGCTAAATCTTTTCAGAAATTAATCTTAGAATATTAGAAAATTTAACAGTAAAATCATCATAAGATGAACTTCTAAACTTAATATATGAAGATACTTCTGATAGGAAGCATAGTATATATTTTGGAAATGAGGATAGGGGGTTACTTTTTCCACCTAAGATGTCCTCAGACACCAAGCAGGCATGAGCTAGTGTGTGCTGGGTCCTCCTGTGAAGAGAAGTTGGCATAATTAGGGCTTAAAGACTTTGTCCTCCTTGGAAGGAAGGCTTATAGTCCAGTGCGGAGTAGGGTTGCATATTATCGCTCTTCTCCCTCCACTGTAATTACCTAGGCACAACTGGAGCAGCAGTCCTGGGTCCCCGAGATATGCCCTGACTGACACTTGGACTTTGACAGATCTTCCTCCATGACACCTGCACGTGTACTCTTGATAAACCGTGGTTTGTCTTTAAGGTGGAGCCCAAAGCAAAAGAGCACCTGCTTCACAGCCCTCCCCCAGCAGGCTGCCCTGAAGGAGCGTCCACTGCAAGGAAGCCCACGTGGGCTCTGAGTCAAGGTCACCGTGTCCCAGCGTCCTCTCCGGGCTGTCATGTTTATGCCCTTGCGTGTGTACTCTCTGCTCTGGTCACCACTTCAACAGTGTCACCACACAGCAAATACTTTCCCTGGTGGCTTTTAGGAGAATAAGATGGTGTCAGGGACCTCTGGCTGACACGGGATTAAGTTAACTTGGTGATTTTGCATGCAAATCACTTGTCCAAAGACTAAAGACTGTACTTTGGCAACCTTCTTGTTGTAATGATCTCCCAAGGTTCTGGCTCTCCTGAACATCACCAGATCCACCTTGACCAGTCTGCATCATGATATTAGTTGTTCTTTATTTATAAATTCTAAAAAAAAAAGCATAATCTTCCCTTCTCTGCTCTGCTTGGAGAACTAGCCTGTGGGCCCATGCTGAGGGCAGGGGATCGTAACTGGTGCTTTTAATTTGGGATGTTATCTCTCGGGGCATATCTAATAAAAAAAAAAATCTGAGCTTAGAAATCGTGTGTGTGTGTGTGTGTGTGTGTGTGTGTGTGTGTGTGTGTGTGTGTGATGGGAAGACACAGGGAGCTTTATAAAAGGAAAAGGGAAGAATTATGCCTTGAGGGTAAATGGAATATGCTGTAAATTATTGACCGTTTACTGTGGCGCTGCCCAGCCCAGAAACCAGCTGTCACTCACCCGTCTTCAGCCTTGCCATCCGCTGGCGTCATCAATGTCTTCCTGAAGCAGGTGTCAATTTTATCACCGTCATATCCGCTCCTGAACACACTGAAGACACATAAATGCCTGAAATCAGATCCTCATATCTTTTTCTTTAATCTCACTGTGTAGATCAGTCTGGCTTCAAATTCACATAGCTCTCCCCCGCTCTGCATCCCAAATGCAGAGAGTAAAGGAATGTGCCACCATACCTGACTGGCTTTACCATTTTGAAATATGTTCTTAACTGTGTTGTGCATTTTCCTCATCTTACAAGTCACAGGTAGCACTGTATACTATGGACCAAGACCTCTGATAGGTTGGAGTCCTATTAGTGTGGTCTCACGTGAGGTCCCACTGAAGCTAAGGTCTGTTTGTGTCAGCATCTCTGTTTGCTTGCTTGGCATCTTATCTCACAGTCTGGAGTGAAAGGGTTTGAACCACTCCTTACTTGGTTCAGTTTCGTTTCTGCCCAGGCTATCTAGGAACTTACTATATAGTCCAGGGTGATCTTGAACTCCAAAGGAACACTCAGGTTCACCGTTTTTAATGAAGTCTCAGTAAGGCCACAGCTGAGGCTTGTCAGGAAAAAAAATGCAGTGCTGGCTTGTTAGATCCCTGACCTGCCTGTCACACCCAGGTCCTGCAGTGTTCTGGGACTCTTGTTAGCTTTTCTGTTTCCTGTAGGGATTTTCAATACATGTTCTCACTTCAAGAATATGTTCCCTGGATCACACGCGAGTTAGTTCCTGTCTGCTTCTCTGATCCCTCGTGCACAAACAGGGACACTGATAATGTCTATCTATCTATCTATCTATCTATCTATCTATCTATCTATCTATCTTTCTATAATGTATACATTATTCTTTCTGTGTGTATGCCTGCAGGCCAGAAGAGGGCACCAGACCCCATTATAGATGGCTGTGAGCCACCATGTGGTTGCTGGGAATTGAACTCAGGACCTTTGGAAGAACAGAGCTCTTTGAAAGAACCATCTCTCCAGCCCCAATGCCACAGAGCCGTCGTAGAGACTAGTCTTTCTAGTGGGTCCTTGCACAGTGGCAGGGGAATGAGAGTGATACAGGTTTGGTTTTATGGATTTTTTTTTTTTTTTTGGTTTTTCAAAACAGGGTTTCTTTGTAGCTTTGGAACCTGTCCTGGAACTGGCTCTGTAGACCAGTCTGACCTCAAACTCACAGAAGTCCGCCTGTCTCTGCCTCCCAAGTGCTGGGATTAAAGGCATGTGCCACCACCGCCCCGCTAAACAGTTTTAAAGATGGTCACCAGTCTACCCCGTGAATGACTCCAAGGTTCTCAAGGAAAGCTGATGAACGGGCTTTTCTGACAGATCAGGGTTTACACTTTCTGTCCCATGGCTGAACTGGAGGAGGCGAAGGAGTGTGTATCCAGAGGAACAGGGGAAGAGCAGAAGGGGCAAAGCCTCAGTCCCCAGTGGATGCAGTGATACACGGGGAGAGGTTTATGGTAGCTGCTTGGAGTCTCTTCGGAGGAGAATTTTAAAGGAGACATGAGGGATAAACTGGGACTATATGGTCATGGGTGGCAATGGGGCAAAGTTTGTGCCAAGAGTTAACCATTATCTTCTGTATGCGGCAAGGCTAAAACAGAATGACTGAGGTTTTATGTTATATGCTTTTTAAATCCCTGTGTGGCTTGGATGCTTTTCTCAGCTTCTCCCAGAGGATGATCCTGTCCATTAGCTTTGTTAAGAAAGGAGGCACCACCCTTGGGTGGTGTATGTAGGGGTGCCCCAATGGCCTTACAGCTTGGAGCCTCTTCTTGATCTTCTAGACGCTTGGGGGTCAAAAGGTGCATCATGCCTGTGGCTTATGCCCTGCCTCACTCTGCACCTTGGCGCCTGGGCGGCCCTGCGTTCTCAGCTGCGGGCTTTGTCTATGGCTGCCCTTTGCCCTGGCTCTCTTGGCCAGGGGTGACTGAGCAGTAATTTGTTCCTAGGTTCAGAGGCACAGCCCTATCCAACTGCAGCTGTGTGTTTGTCTTGTAATTCGCAGACAAGAAGAAGGGAGGCAAGTTCCAGCCTTTTAAGAAGTTGTTTGGCAAAAGGAAAAAGAAGAGCACCCTGCTTTCCGGGGAGGAACCAGCTGAGAGGCAGAGGCACGCTCCCCGGGGTTCCAGCAATGGGACCTTCTCTTCAGATGAGGAGACCCTGGAAAGCAATCTGAGGTAATAACTTGCCCTTTCCTTGTGCTTCTCTGGCAGAGTCCCCAGGTGAGGAAAGTGATGCCCAGAGGGTCAGTGTGGGTTTGGGATTTGGAGGGCAGGGCCAGCTTCATAAAGGTGTCCCACCTGGGCGTGAGGGTGGCACCCAGTGTGCTGGTTGGAGAAGTCACCTTGACAACGGTTGAGCCTGCGTTTCTCTGTCCTCACTGATGGTGGAGGGCAGCAGTTCCCTGGCTTGGCTCAACAAAGGGTCCTCTGACTGATGACCAAGTTCCTATGGCCCTAATGGTAAAGAAAGGATAGCCACAGTCCAGACCTCACATGCGAGGCAAGGCTCAGTGAGGTCACCCTTGTACCCCAGGAAACCTCTGGCTGCTTTGGGGGTGAGCTCTCTCCACAGAACCTTTAACTTCTTTCTCTTCTTCCTCCTTTATCTTTTTCCTTTCATCTTCCTCCCTCTCCCTCTCTCCCCACTTCTTTCTCCCTCTTCTAGGACACAGGCTCTAAATCTGATCAAGAACCTCAGAACCAGAGCCTGGAGGGTTGGGGTGGGGCCTTTGTCACCCGAGTGCTGGGACGTGAGGCGGGAGTCAGGGATGACTAAACTCGGGTACTGCTCTTGGAAATTGTCCCTTTGGAGAAGCCACCCCAACCTTCCGGTGTGATTTCTTCAGCCTTGCTGTGCTCATTAGCATCTCTAGCCTGACTCAACAATGAATACATTACTTTCTATGGAAATAGTTGATTTGCTTGCTTCTTATGAGGCTGGCTCATGAACTCAGGGACCAGGTTTTCTTCGACCTGTTAGTGTGTGCTGGCATCTAACTACTTAACACATGTCAAAGACAAAAATGCCCCCTAGAGTGTGTGACAGTAAGGAAATCCTAGTCGATACGGGTGTGGTACAAACCCTCAGACAGGTGACACCCGTTAAGCTGGCACAGTGTTCACCAGCCGCACGTGTTAGTTCTAACCAGCACCGACTCTGCTTGGCAAGCCTATGTTTGCTTTCCACCGTTCTTACCACAGAAGAAAATGGCCAACTTTAACTGTAGCTCTTTAGAGTGATAAAGCTCTGGAAGGAAAGGCCTTAGCTGGAGGGAAAGCAGAGCAACTGGTAGGTAACTGGCCGCTGTAGTGGGGGTGCTCCGTAATGCTGTTGTCCTGTGGGGGTCAATCCTGATTCACCAGCCATGTCGTGTGGGGCGCTCCGTAACGCTGACTGTTGTTCTGATGGGGGCCAATCCCGATTTCATTTCCGTTTCTCATGCTGTAAACACGAATGCGGATCTTTTTCACCTCGGAGCAGAATGAAGCTCAACACTACTAAGTGGGACCAAGACTCATGAAGTTGTGTCCTCAGAGCCCACCTTTGCGCAGAGGGTCCTCTGAAAACACACTTTCTTTTGCAGTCAGTTGCGGCTTTGCTGGGCCCTTGTGTCCTGTTGAGTTGCTTTGAACTCTTACACGATCTCTTCCCTCGTTCCATTTACCTCTTCAGGGTTTTCCTGAAGGCTTTAAGAAATCACGGAAAATTCCACATTGTGGTCAGGCAACCCCATGACTGAATAGGTGATGTCATCTGGTCTTCTTGACTTTTGTTCAGAAACCTCCACTTTGTGTACAGAACATATTTTTGTTTTGTTTTGTTTTGTTTCCTTTTTCGAGACAGGGTTTCTCTGAGTCGCCCTGGCTGTTCTAGAACTTGCCCTGTAGACCAGGCTGTCCTCGAATACACAGAGATCCGCCTGCCTCTGCCTCCCCAGTGCCTGGGATTAAAGGCGTGCACCACCACCCCCTGACGATATGAATGCCCTGCAGTGCAGTTGAAGTTCTGCTCATCTGCCCTATTTACAAGTGGAAAAATATGAAAAATAGGGCTTCCTAAAATTACTTTCAGTTGGCTGCTCAATTGACAGACACACGACAGCACACTGCATAGAGTTAGAAATGAAGCTGGGCCATGGTGGCACACGCCTTAAATCCCTGCACTCAAGAGGCAGAGGCAGGTGGAGTTCACTTGTAGGGCACGAGTCCCAGGATAGCCAAGGCTTTACGCAGAAACCCTACCTCAAAAACCCGAAAGAAAGGGAGGGAGGGAGGGAGGGAGGGAAGGAAGGAAAGAAGGAAGGAAGGAAACCGTGGAAAGATTTGGAAATTAATCTGAATGGTTTTTTTTTCTTTTCATTCCAAAATAGAAAGTGCTCACGGGCACACAAAACTCCCAGTCCCATGGACACAATCCAGTTCTAGGTTAAATTTCAGTCCAGTGAAATCGGTCCAGTGTTGAGGGGAAGTTTCCTGAATACTAGAGTTACCCTAAAAGTCTGGGAGGCTGAGTCTGTGTCCAAGGGTTCGAGGCCCAGGAGGGTGGGATTTAGTCACTAAAGTTATTGAACTTTAACTGTTGAACTCCAGGAGTCTTTGGTTCTAGAAATGTCTCTGTGGCCAAGAATAGCTCATTGATCTGTCTCTTCTGCCTGAAGCTGGCCGTTCCTTGGGACTTTCAAGGAACCCCACTCTTTCTGTAGCTCAGGAGCCTTCATGGCTCCTTGGCTGCTGTTTTTAATTTAAACATGCCTTTGGGAAAGTGAAATTTAAACCATGATGGCTTTTAACAATTTAATAGCATTTTCTTTGTTCATTCAATACAATTAATAGTATATTTCCAAAAGGATGTTGGATAAGCATGTCAGCATTTGATAGGCTGAGGCAGCGAGGCTGCTGTGAGTTCAAGGCTCGCCTTAGCTACATTGTGAGTTCAAGGCTCGCCTTAGCTACATTGTGAGTTTCAGATCAAGCGGGGCTACATAGCAGTACCCTGTCTCAGAAACAGCAATAACAGAAAGCGGAAGAAATGAATGTTACATGTAAAAAGAGAGGAAGAGTCATCTTGGTAAATATGTTTGGTATACATGTAAAGAATTTTACTTAGGACTTTACATAACTCCGTTATGCACCATGTGAGTCTCTAAGAGGGATGTCATATGTAGCAGGTTCCTTTGTTTGCAGACTCTTTTTTCTTAGAGAATCTCCAATGGCGTTTATTAAAGTGACCACTCAATGGTAGCACTAATGTGCTTTGCGTAGATGAACTCACGTCGTGCCGCAACTCTCTAAGATTCTTATCATTATCTCCAGTTTACAGTGAGATTCTATCAGAAAGACGGCAAGGAAGGAAAAGCAGAATAAGGGGGAATTTTCCATCTCTTTCTCTAGGCATGTGCTCACTTTACACCATAAACAGGTAAAGATGTCACAGGCAAGCAAACAAAACCACAGACAATACCCTTATGATTTAGGCACAAATATCTTACTTGTTTAAAGCAAGCCAACCTGGGCCACAAAGAAAGGTCCTATCAAGAACAAAGTCCTAAGGAAATGATACTCATAAAAATCTATTAGGCTTCTGAGAAAAATTGATCCAGGTTACAAGATACAGGATTAGGGATTTTGTGTCTCCATTGAGTTCAAGGAATGCAAAAACTCCACAGAATGAAGGAAAACACATTCAAATGATAGCTCTAATAAGATCAGCATGTACAGGGTGGGCAAAGATCTTTTACAATTCAGTAATAAAAGGTCAAAAAAAACTTCTTTAGAAAATAGGTAATGAATTTGGATAGACATTTCTTAGAAAAAGAGAGAGAAAGAAGAAAGGAAGGAAGGAGGGAGAGAGGGGGACGAAAGGAAGGAAAGAAGGAAAGAAGAAAAAAGAAAGAGAAATTTGTTACAAATAAGCCCTGTTTGTTCAACAGGGAAACATGTCACACGTACATGAACTATAGCCCAAAAGATAGCTGGTTTTGTTTTTTAAGTATTAGCAAGAACATAGAGTGGCTGGAGCCTTCATCCCTTGCTGATAGAAATATAAATAAACAATTTCGGGCAGGGGCTTAGAGAAATGATTCCAAGAGTATGTACTGCTCTTCCAGAGGACCCGAGTTCAAATCCCAGCACCCACGTCAGGTAGCTCACTACCTGTTCCAGCTCCAGGGAATCCAGCACCTCTGGCCTCTCTTGTACTCGTGGGTAAACATGTCCACACAGACAGGCATGTACATAATTAAAAGAAATAAAAATCTTTTTTAAAGAAGCAGTGAAGCTGGGCTTCAGACAGATGCTAGTATTCCTAATGGCAGAGGTGTGGGTATGACCTCTATCGGCTACTTTGATATGTTGTGATTTTCATCTGAAATAACCCCATCTCTATTTCCTTCACTTAATTCCCCCCTCGCTCCTCCGTTTTCTGTGCAGCTGTGCCTTCCCCAGGGAAGCAAGCCCCCACTGCTCCCCTTCGTCTTATCAGTCTGTTAATTTTGCATAACCGTGACATGACTATTGGACAGAAATAACTTCTGGGAAAATGGATCTTTTTGACTCATGACTTCAGAAGAGCTGGTCCACGGCTGCTGGTTCCCATGCACTTGGGTAGAACATCCTGGCAGTGGGAGCAGGCGTCAGGAAAACACTGTTCACATCGTGGCAGACAGGAAACAAAAAGAAAAGATAGGACAGGGCCAGGGACAGAATACCCTAGGGACCCACACCTGCACTCCCAAGCTAAGCGCCACCTACACTTTACAGAGCCTCTTGAAATGGTGTCACCATTCAAGTCCAAGCCTCCAATATGAGCCCTTCTTATTGAAATCATAGCAAAGTCTCCCCCCAGTTTCTTCCCCTTCCCTAAGTCTTATGACCGATTCTGCTTGTGTTTTTACCCCACTCAGCATACTCTAGGCATTCAGGGATGGTTGAATGAATAGACACACAAGCACTGCACTTTTACTTCACTGGGGGTCCCCACTCTGCAAGTCAGTAGTCATCCAACTCATCCTCTAGTTTCCTCCCGTGGCGAAGAGCGTCATCATCCCTGTCACCTGCCGGGAAAGGGAAAGGACACGGTTGGCATCATGAGACGTGTCTCCAGTGAAATTGTGACACAGCTCAAGGCTCCCCGGGTGCGGGGTGTGTTTTCTGTCGCTTGGCCTTGAAGGTTTCCA